AATGAGGTACCACCTAACCTTAGAATGTCTAAGATTAAAAAACAAAAAATGATAAAATGTTGGAGGGGGTGTGGTGAAACGGGAACTCTTTTACACTGCTGGTGGGAATGTAAATTGGCCCAGCCACTGTGGAGAACAATTTGGAGATTTTTCAAAAATCTACAAATAGAACTACCATATGATCCAGCAATCCCACTCCTCAGTATTCTACCCAAAGGACAGAAGAATTCTTCATTGGAAAAGTGCTTGGCACATCGATGTTTATTGTGGCACTATTCACAATTGCTAAGACATGGAACCAACCCAAATGCCCCTGTACGGATGAATGGATTGGAAAACTGTGGTACATATACTCTGTGGAATACTATTCTGCCATAAAAACCAACAAAACCCTAGCTTTTGACAGAAAGTGGAAGAATGTGGAAGAGTTACTGCTGAGTGAAGCAAATCAGGCTATGAAGGAGAGACATTGTATATCCCCACTTAATATATACAGAGTGCCTGCACTCTACAATCAAAACTGATTGACTAAAAGATATACAAACACAAGAGATGGGTGTGAATGCCAGATGTGGTATGTGTGGAGGAGTGGGGCCTAGGGAAGGACATTTGGAGGAGGGATACAGAGGCAGAGCATTGATGGGATGGGAGGTGTGGTGTTATCTGCTGAAGATATTTTGATCAACTGGACTGGGGAGAAATGTTCACATATTGAAATGTTCACTTTGTAAGCTAAACAATGTGATTGAATGTATATATGTGTGTGTGTGTGTGTGTGTGTGTATAAAGATGGGAAGACGACGGATGGTCTAGGGATCTCAGGACTTGAACAACATTAAAAAAAAAGACAAGACAGCCATGCAGCTGGAGAAGGTAACTGAAACCTTCCACTAAGAATCACTTTTTTCTAGAGTATGTAAAGAATTACAAATGATTAAGAAAGAAAAATGATGCGAGAGAAATACAGGCAGAGAGTACAGAAAGGTACTTCTCAAAAGAAGAAATCAAAAGATCAATATAAACACGAGAGGAAATCCATTATCACTAGTTAGGTAAATAAAATGACAGAATTTCAGATAATCAGACTGCCTTAAATTAAATCTGATAACAAGAGTTGCCAAGGATTAGAAGCAGGAATCCTTATATATTGCTGGTAAGCTACATAATCACATTGGAAAGCAATTTAGCAACACTTACTGAAACTGAAGATGCTCATTGCCTAGAACTCAATTCTATTTCATCCCCTGAAGAAACTCCTTTTTGCCAGCAGCACAGAATAGTTAACATCTACTAACCCAAGGAAAGAAACACATGAAAAAATTCTGACCATAAGCTAGTTGTACTCTCCACTAAATGGGAAAAATCTCTCTTGTGTACTCTGTGGCTTCATCTATCAAATTAAAATAATCGCTCCATAAATGAGTCATCTCTGCAAGGGTAAATGTGCAGGAATTTTTATTTTAGTCAACTCAGACCCACCAAACATTAATGAAATTTGTAATTCTTAGTACCTACAAGTATTGACAGATAGTAATGTAAGTTGCCGACTACTTGGTGAACTAGAACTGTCTTTTTCCTCCATTCTAGCCACCTGAAAGTTTAAGAGTATAAAAACAAAATATCAGAAAAATATAAAAATATTCTATATGAGACAAAGCTTTATGCTAGTATTTTAGAATAACATAAACTCATCAAAGGCTACAGTTTTGTGCTAGTGACAATGTGGTTTTCTGTAATTCACTATTTTACAAAAAAGACGAGGGAGAAAAATGACTGCGAGACCACATACCTGGATCAGCTGCAGTGAAAGGAACACCATCAGATGTATAAAATGTTGGTTCATTCTAGGATGAATCAGTGATAAAAATACGTAATCATTTCAGAATTGCTTTTTTGAAGTGCATTAATTAATGAAGCATGGTAGATGTCACTCAACTGCACCTGATAATGCATAAATAAGCCAAAAAACTGACTTCCTAATGGCCATTTTCATGTTACTGGGTATGTCTGTGGTTTTTAGATTTCCATTGTATTATTTCCATTTGTATTAAGTTTTTGCAGCTCTAAATCTGCTATTATTTGTCACATTCATGGTGAACTCTTTTGGTGGGTATTGTAATTTTGTGTAAGCTCATTATTAGGTGTGATTTTCCCTACTCCACCTTTTCTTTCTTTAAAAATTTCCAAGATCAAGGAGGTAAGATTAGTCTTCCACAGGTGCTTTGTTCAGTCTTATCAGGAAATTCAAGGCATACATGGCCTGGTAACCATCTTTATTTCCTTACTTTACTTTATTATGGCATACAAAGTAAAAATATGATGCGGACTTTATTCGAAGTCCAACCTTACCGGTTTCCTTTGCCATGAGATGGATCTATCTCTAGTCTGGCCTTTCAATGAAGGATTCTGGATTTCTATTTACCTGGTCTGCTGGATGCCATGTGACCCTAACCTAGTAAAGTTATCAGGCATTGACTCCTGAGAATATTTTTAGATAACTTATCTAATTTCTAAAACCTAATCCAAGCAATAAGCAAAACTTCAAATATAAACAATAGCGTACCATAAAGTAGTTAGGATCATTTTCAGGAGTTGCTTCTCTGTATGTTGAAGTTGCATGGACTCTACCCCAGTTACTCGACCGGAGTTCTACAAGCTTTAAGAGCATCTGTTTTACATCTCTGCAGATGAAAGTCGAAATGAATTAAACTATATCTACCATAAAAGATATCAGTCTATAAAATACTAAAGCTTTAGTTCCTAAATTTGGATGTTTTCATTTCCTAGACATTTCCTATAATTACATAAATTCACTTAAAACAAAATAAAACAAAAAAAAGCCTTGAAATTTGTTCCAGGTAACTGTGACTATATATATATATATATATATGATCCTTAAAGGCAGTGGATGTTTTTCAAACAGTTTCATGTCTCCTACTCTATGTATGGCAGTCCTTTATCCACATATTTGCTGAATAAGTTATAGTTTGAAACAATTTTATTTTTCAGTGGACTCAAATATTACCAAAGAAAAATCTTATTTTCCAATTTCTAAACATAATTGAATGAAAATGTTTATAATAAACAGAAGTCATACATAAAATGTTATACCTTTAACAAAGTATTTCTGTATATCAATTTGTAAGATTTCAATTACTTTGATTAAATATGAAAGGTTAAGAAAGAAACCTGAAAGAAAAACAAATTGAAATATATTGGCTTTCTATATTACTTCTTTCCTACCTGCTGCAATTTGCATCTAAGACAACATTTTCAATTCTCTGAATAATTTCTTCCATATCAGTCTTTCCTTTTTCCTTCCAAGCATCTTCCAAAACTGACCCTGTCAACTGAAAAAGCAAGCATCAGTAAAATAAATTCAATGGCATGTAGAAATTCCAAATACAGGTTGGCTGGCAGCATGGTGGTTAAGGTGGCTGGATCCCTCATGGCTGACTGTGTGGTTCGAGTCCTGGACCTGGAGGTTTGGAAAACACATAGGGCACATGTGCATGTGTGCCCAAAATCCTGAGAGGAGGATTGCAACCTGGCCATCTCCTCTAAGGGGTGCTTTCTCACTTTCTCTTGTTTCTCTCTGGTGATCACATGCACCCTATAGCAAAAATTTTAGAAAATAAAATAAATTCTAAACAGATACTAGTAGTTCAGGAATTCTAGGAACAAGAATTCAGCAAGTTAAATATGCCAAATTATTTTGGGTATCATATAATATTCAGAGATCTCTATACCCTCCATTTTCTTATTGATTGAGAGAAACTAAAGGAATAAACTATACCAGAACTTTAATTATAGTTTTTATGTCAATGTCAGTATGACTAAGATAGGCTATTATATTTTAATGCTGATATTACTTTTTGAAATATGCCACGTGCAACAGATGTAGAGGCCTGAATTAAAAATTTTCTTTTCCTTGGGGTGAGCAGGTGGTAGGGAAATTAAGGTGGCTGGATTGCACATGGCCAGCATAGCCATCCCAGACCTGGCAACCTGAAGACACACACTGGGCACGTGTGTATGTGTACCCCAAACCCCAAAATGAAAATGGAGAAGAAGAGATTGTGGTGTGACCGTCCTGGGAGGTGATTTCTCACTTTCTCACATCCCCTACACCCCCAGCAAACTCATGGGCCATATAGCAACTAGAAGGGAAAAAAAGAGAAAGAGTTAAGGATATAAAGCAGCAATTAACAGAAACTAATAAACAAATGGTTAATAAAACATGAGGAAAAGCTTAAATTGATTAGCAATCAGGAAAATGTAAAGTAAAATAAGCTTTTTATTATAACTCATCACCAATGACAAAACAAAAAAGGACTGATTATATCCATCACTCTAAGGATGTGGGGGGTACTCCCAGTGGGAGTACACTCAGGTTCATTTTCTGCATGAAAAATTTGGTGTTAAATGTCAATATAAAGTACACATGCTCACCTGACCCACTAAAAATCAATGTCTAGAAAGTTAACCTAAAAAAATACCTGCACATATAAAGCGATGAGTGATTATCGGTGGTGCTGCAGTGACTAAGCTGAAAATAATTCAAATGTTCATAGAATGAATAAGTAATGTATATGCAATACAGTGGAAACCCAGGAAGTTACTCAATATCATAAGGTGAATTGAAAGATCTGCCATAGAAAGCCAGCAGGTGGTGCAATGGTTAAGGCGCTGGATTCCCACATGGCCAATCACAGTTGAAGTCCTGGACCCTGCAGCTTGAAAATCTCCAGGTGTTTGTGTGTGCATGCCCAAAATCCCACGAGAGTGAAGAAGAGATCACAGCATGGCCTCCCCACTGCAGAGTGATTTCTCAACTTTCCCTTATCTCTAATTTCTCTGGTGAATCCAAGTGCCATGCAGCAAAACAAAAGAAACAAACAAAAACAACAAACCTAAAAAAATCTGTCATGGAGAGATCTAAGGCATAAAAAAAGCAAGCTACATTGAATAAAATCTTATTTATAAAAGCACCCACTCTAATAGGACATCGAAAAGTACAGAAAAGGAATTTAAGATAATGATGAAGTAAAGGACTTCTATTTTTCACTTCTAAATTTTGCTTCTTCTATGAGGGAGAGGTCCTACAAAAAGTTCATGGAAAACACATGTTATGTAAAAACTATGTCTGGGTTATAAAAAATTTCTTGCTCCAAAATAAACTTCTATTTTAATACCGTTTCCTCACACATTTTTGAAGTATCTTTGTATTAAGCCATATATATATAGATATAATTGCTTTTCCAATAGTTTAAGAGCAGGTAAAATGTCCTAATTAACTTAAAAATTGAAATCTTGAATTTGTGTATTACACATACTTTCCTTCCTCTAAATTATAAATTAAGTGGGTAAAACAGTTAAAAAAGCATAGCCTACCTTCAATAATTTTACTGCACAAATTAAGTTGTCATCCACTGGATTAGAAAAGAGGGCATTCAGCAACTCTCGAAGACCAACTTGAAGAATATCGGCTCTTGTAACCTGTCCATTTGTTCCCTTGATCTTTTGGGGACAAAATTAAAAGTGATGATGTCAAAATAAAATTATACATACATATGGATGGTTTAGCAAGATAAGTGCTTTAAGCAATACAAATCAGAGGGACATATTCGGGTATTGCACAGTATTAATTAGAATTACTTTTATTTGTAACTGAGACCTATAATAAAACTAGTGAGCTATAGGTATATCTTAATTTTCATTTATCACATAAAATACAGGAAACTTACACCCATTCTGATGTTACTGTTTCTTAAAGCATTCTCTAGTTAAGCTACTATCTTTTATTAAACACGTAGCATCTTATTCTATTTTAGATATTCTAAAGAGAGGCCAGAGTTCATATGGCAACTGCAATCTAAATCCTTGCCCCTTCAGCCTAAACAAACCAGGCAGATTCATGGGCACCCAAAATCTGATGGGCTGGAGAAAGGAGCTGATGGGATGAAGCGTGTTCACCTCCCTCTCTCCTCCATGAATGCTCACAAACTACCATGAACAAAAATTTAAAAAGTGACTCCTCATTTAAGGCACATCCATTACATGATAAAATTCAGCCTGCTAGTAAGTATAATCTCAAGTGTATGAACTAAACTTATTCAGCAGTAGACTGTACAAATGCATTTTATGTGGAAGATTAATATAGATAATAGGACAAACAAGAACTAATTTGGGGAGGTAGGGGTATTGGGATGATGTGGTTGAAAGATGCAAAATTTCAGTTAGGAAGAACAAGTTCAAGAGATCTACTGTGGGGAACCAGCAGTTAGCATAATGGCTATGTCGCTGGACTCCCACGTAGTCAACCACGGTTTGCGTCCCAGACCCGGTGGCTTAAAACTCACGCCGGGCGCGTGTGCATGCGTGCCCAAGATCCCGAGAGGAGAAGGGAGGAGAAGGGATTGCGGTGTGACTATCCCCCCTGGGGGGTGATTTCTCGCTTTCTGTCTCTATGTCTCTGTCTATCTGGCGAGCGCACATGCCCTATAGCGAAAAACCTCTTAAAAAAAAAAAAAAGAGAGAGATCTACTGTGCATCAAGATGATAGTTAACATATTATATACTTAGAAATTGCTACTAAACAGTAAATCTTAATGTTCTTTCCATAACAAAGTATGTGAGATAATGCATATGTTAATTGCCTTGATTTAGTCATTCCACAATGTTTAAAGTATATCAAAACATCTCCTACAACAGAAATATAGGTTAGTCAAATGTTTTTCAAGAGAAAGATTTTTGCTATAGGGCACATGTTCCTGCTGGAGAGACAAAGTGAAAAATCACTCCCTAGGGGGATGGCCATGCCACAGTCCCTTCTCCTCCATTCCCCTCTCAGGATTTTGGGCATGTGCACACAGATGTCTGGTGTGAGTTTTAAGTGCCGGGTCTGGGGCTCAAATCATAGTTAACTATGTGGGAGTCCAGCAATGTAACCATCATGCCATCTGCTGGTCCCTGAAATAAACAGTTTTTACTTGTCAAAAAATTAGAAAAGTACAAAACATTTTTAAAAACTTCTGGGTGAAACAGAGTGAAAAGCCAGAAACTCTAATCTCTCTCCTCTTCACTGAAAGTTAAGTTAGCTGCTTTGAGTCACCATCTGAAAGTCAAAATATTAAATACTAGTATTTATGATTTAAGGACTCAAAAAGATATCATTGTCTATATCTCAAAAGCTTAAACTCACATGTAAACCAGAACTTTCAGAAAGTACATAAGATTTTAAAAAGCTCAGTAATTACTTCCTAACATCCAGTTCAGGAGCAAGAGAAACAACTCTTAAAGATGTTCTGTTCGATAATGACTTGAGTACCGAATGGGTACTGGAACGTTTTCTCTCCCATTCCCCTTCCATTTCATTCATTATGTTGTATAAGTATAAAGTGAACACAAATCCTTTATTAAGATCAATTTATACTATCAGTTAGTTAACATAGTACTTAACAAAAGAAAAGTTTTCCTCACCTCCAGGTTAAGATAAAGTTCTCCCAGAAAGAGTACAAATGCATGAAATCGTTTCCGAGTCACTTCATCCCCTTTTGCAGCTTGATCCTTAACTTCATATTCAGTCCGACATCTAATAAAGATATATCTTTTATAATTTCACATTGTTTGGCTTTGTAAACAGTCCAACAAGATGACCACTTGTTGGTTTGCTTGTCCTCAGCAATACAGCCAAGCACAACGTCCCAATGCCCTGACTTTCTATAATAAAGAAAAAAGCGTTTCTACCTATTGTAGAAGTTAGAATATACAGATATATACCATCTTTTCATACTAAAACTCCCACTTTTAAGAAACTGATAGTTTGAGGCAAGTGGCATGGTGGTTAGGGCACTGGGCTCCCACATGGTTGTCTACAGTTCAAGTCCCACACCTGGCTGCTTGCTTTCTCACCTTCCCTCTCTCTCTGGTCAAATTTTAAAATAATAATAATAATAATAATACTTTAAAAATTGGTAAGAATAGTTGAAAATAAAGCTATCTGATCAAGTTTGTTGTATGTTTAAGAAACACAGCTTCCATGAGGTTCATAGCATACTGGCACAAAAAAAAAAAAAAAGAAAGAAAAGAAAAAGTCTCATCTTATTTGTCTTACAGACTTTTTGTTAATACTGCTGTTACTCTAATTGTCTCTAAACATTTTTACCCTTTTTGAATACAAGAACTTTAAAAAAGATTGTTTAGCCCCCAACAAGGCTGAAAATAAAATGAATTCAAGGGCAAGCCACTATTCTTACAATGTCCATTACAGATAGAGATCTACATAGATCTATCAGAGAAGTATTATAGTAAGAAAAAAATTCCCCAATGAAACTGCATTGCGGAAAACAATTTAGGGGCCAGCAGATAGTGTGGAGGTTAAGGCACTGGACTTCCACATGTCTGACCGTGGTTTGAGTCCTGGACCTGGTGGCTTGTTTCCTCACTTTCTCTCTCTCTCTGGTTAAATTAAGAAATAATAATGATAATAAGATAATCATGAAATAATAAGATTAAATAAACACTGGAAAAAAGGGAAAACAATTAATTTAATCTCCATTTCCAATGGAGACCAGAAGTTTGAAATAACTGGTTTCCCCTTTCTTTATTTCCCTGACTTGGCCCACTGCCTGACACAGATAACAAGATGAAATCCTCTTGTTGAAGTGTAGTCACAGCTCCCATAAGCTATCTACACTAATCACAATAGACCTGTTACTGCCTCCTTTGTAAATGAATTATGGTGTGAGCTACTGTTACTAAAATAAAATTTTTTATATGCACTTTAAATGTTTATAGTTTGGGGTTTTTTTGTTGTTATTGTTTGTTTGTTTTTTGTTCTCCCTTAACTTTATTGATAAGGTAGGTAAAATAAAACTCTGGGAGTCATTTGTTTTATAAAACCAATTTTGACAGTTTTTATTTTAAAGACAAGGGAAAGAACTCATGGAGACTTAATGGCTTTCATACAGAGTCAGTTAAGGTTAGCTTCGTTGGAAATTTTTTTTTAAAGAAGAAAAGAAATGATCCCTTACCTAAGAATGCACCCTGGGTCAGCTGTGAACCACCCACGAGCACACCATAGCATACTGTGCCTGTGTGGCCAAATTCCAATGCTCCCAAGCTGGATTAATGAGTACCATCTTCATCTTGTTTTGAGTCAGATGTGTAAGATATTTGTTAGCTTCTCATACATACTGAATTAATTCCTCATCAGAAAAAGAGCTGTGATATTTACAGATACAACACTCTAGTTAATTAATTCCAACTCAATTTTCCAAGCACTGTGATGGCTGCTTTCTGCATTCTGATATGACTTTGAAAATAGAATTTCAATGAAACAATCTCCATTTTATAAAATGGTATTAGATTATATATAACCTGATTATAATGTGTATTATATGTACAAAAGTAAATTCCTAACCCTGTGTACATGGTTGATTATATAGGTAAAAGGCCCTAAAACCTTTTTAAGCTAAATATTTTCAATTATAAAAGCAATATACATTTATTTCAGAAAGGTTAAAACAGAAATACAAAGAACAAAGTTACCTGAAATACCACTGTAACCAAGAGATAACTGCTGTAAAAATAACTTCCATTTATTTCAAAGTAGGTATATGAGGAAGGTCTCCAAAAAGTCCATGGAATGTGTACATTATGAAAAATCTATGCATGGATTCTTTTGTACCAAAATAAACTCTTACTTCAATTTGTCTTTCCATGAAATTTAAAAAATGTTTTTGTATATTTTAAATGAGGTAACAGAATTATGCTCTCATTGTTAAATCATTACCATTTCTCCACATTAATTTTTTGGCAGTGCTATAGTATTACAGAAACACACACGACGGTAGAGAATCAAAGGGAATCTGAAGAATGGTTCTCAATCATGGCTACACAGAATCACATGGAGAGCTTTTTAAAAGATAAAAAATTTAAAAAACCGTGTCCAGGCTCTACCTCAATCCAGTTCCACCAGAATTTCTGAAGGTAGGAGCAGTCTTAGCCTTATTTTAAATCTCTAGATAACTCTGAGGCACAGCCATGGGTGAGATGCACTAGTGAATATGGTGGGCCTTTCTAGAAGCACCCAGTTTATCGTTGCAGCAGCTATGGTTTGCATTAAAGGTAAGTTTAGACATTTTTATAAATGACATTTATATTTTCCCAAACTGGACCTAATTCAAACCTATTACAAATATTTCAATTAAGATGCTAGTGTTTTTCTTACTCATCCCTAAAAGGCCCTGATTTTACTTTTACTTTTTTTTTTTTTGGAGAGGTTGTTTTGCAATAGGGTGCATGTGCTAGCCAGACAGACAGAGAGAGAGAGAAAGCAAGTAATCACCCCCCAGGGGGGAGGCCCACGCCGCAATCCCTTGTCCTCTTGGGATTTTGGGCACGCACACACATATGAACCGGCATGAGTTTAAGCCACCTGGTCTGGGACTCGAACTGCGGTCGGCTACATGGGAGTTCAGCAACATAGCCATTATGCTAACTGCTGGTCCCAAAGGCCCTGATTTTCATGTCAAGTAAAGGAGCTTACTGCCATATGTTTTAAGTTTTCCTTTTTTTTTACATTACTTGATATAAATGTATGCCCTCTCTCTAAGTGTTAATAAGTAAGTAAATTTGTTAATCTTTTGTTTTAGGACTTACCAGTATCATGTCTTAGTTAAAGGGTTTTACCAACCCATGATTTTTGTTGACTGTCAGTTTCCTCCCTTAGTATTTACTGTTTCACTTTTAACTCTTTGCTATACTTGGAATTTATGCTGGTGTAAGATGTGAGTCCAGAAGTCATCTTAGTTTTTCTCAAGAATGGCTATCCAGTCGTGCTGCCAGCACAATTTATCTTTTACACTACCTAACAAAAGCACTACCCTAACAAAGTTTCATTTTCAAGTGACTATGGAGTCTACTTTAGAATCTTTATTCTATTCCACTGCAGTTTAACCACACAATGGAATACTTTGCAACCATCTATCTTTAAAGAACTAATAGACAAACTATAATAAACTTAAAGACAATCTTGCTACTAAAGACAAGTGGTTACAAGAGTTTTCCCTAAACTTCCCTGTGAATTCAATATTATCTCTCAAATATCTAATGCCAACAAGATCTGTGTCATTTCAAACACTATTCTAAAGTTCATTGTAGAAAACAAACACAACAAAGAAGATTCCATAGAACAGAGAACTAAACTAGATGATTTTAAAAATTAAGTTTTATAGTTATTAAGTTGTTGGGAAAGTCAAGATGTGTTTATCTAGCAAAAAATGCATTATGACTTTCCCAACAATCCAATGCTACATGGCAATAAAAAGGAACAGAACAAGCAATAAGTCGATCATAAGGAAAGATCACAATCGAACCCAAATTTCCGGGGCCAGCCACAGGGTGCAGTGATACCGTGTTCTGCAGTATTGCACCCACACTGAGAGGGGTGGTATCTGGGGACATCCCAGTGTAGGCCAGGTATGCGTGCCCGTAACTTGGGCTGGCTGAGGCTGGGGGCAGATCATGGCATGAGGAAGAACCCTGTTAATGGTGCTCCTAGATATGTGCATGCTCTCTCAAAAAACAAACTTAATAAAAAAAGAGAATGTGATGTGATAAAGCTGGCAGTTCAAATCAAGGGAAGAATTACTATTCACTTAACATTCTAACAAAATTAGACCCCTACTCAAACCAAAATTACAAAAATACTAAGAAATACAGAGTGATAATTTTTAAGATATTAGAAAAGGAAAGGCCTTTCTAAACACAAAGGCGAAGACCATTACCGAAAAAAACACTAATAAATATTTGACTATAAACTTAATACTATGCAAACAACGTTCTACCCTATTCTCCCCCACAACTTTCTATAACGTAGGGTCTTTAAAAAAGAGGAATGGTCAAATTCTAGTGTGTTTAGACACTGAGGCTAGCAGGTGCCGTGGTAGTTAAGGTGCAGGACTCCCACATGGCCAATCGAGCTTTGAGTCCTGGACCTGAGAGCTTGCTTTCTCATTCACCCTTTCTGTCTCTCTCTGGTCAAACTGAAGAATAACAATAAATAAATAAATAAAATTAAAGAAAAGAAAAAAAGAAATAATTTTCCTTTTATTTCGTATTCATACTGACCTTTGAAGTAACAATTGGCGAAAGTTGCCGCTCTGTGGGCTAATTGTCAGATGATGGGACAGGTAATTACACAGGCGAGCTCCCATGTAAGAGAAATTTGGGATAGACGTGGCCTTTTAAAAAGAAAATATTTCATATGACACAGATACATCATTTATTAATGCAAACACTTCACAGTAACTCAAGATCCATTTATGAGGAAAGAAAATTTCCTCATGATTATTTTTGTCCCCTATTCCAATAATGCTATATAATTCAACATAGGAGAAAAGAACTACAGTCCTTTTCACGTATTGATAATTTCAGATTCTGTGAAACACAGGTGGGGAGAAAATAAAAGTGTGACGCTTATGTACTTTTCCTTGCTAAGTACCCAAATCTTCTTCTACAGTATATTATAAAACTTCTATAGAGTCTTCAATATACAGGTGCATTTACAGTCCAGCCTGGCTCTAACCTTGGAATAATTATAGAAATTTTATATACCAGACACTTAAAAGTTCTCACGAGGGCCAGCTGGTGTCAATAGTGGTTAAGGTGGCTGGATCCCACATAGCCAACCATGCGGTTTGAGTCTCAGACCCAATGACTTGAAACAGGTGTGTGTGCATGTGTGCCCCAAATCCCGGCTGGGCAGTAAAGTAAATGCAGCATGGCCACCCCCCTGTGGTTGATTTCTTACTTTCATTCTCTCTCTGAGGAGTGCATGTGCCCTACAGCAAAATTAAAAAACATGGGGCCAGCAAGTGGTGTGGTGGTTAAGGTGCTGGAATTCCCTACGTGGTCGACTGTGGTTCGAGCCCTAGACCAGGAGGCTGGCTTGCTTTCTCTCTCTCTTACTCACTCACTGTCTTTCTCTGTCAAAACTCATTTAAAAATAATAATAATTAAAAACAAAAAAAAAAAAAAAAAAAAAAAAAAAACCCCCCCCCAAAAGGTTAAAAGTTAACAAAGAAGAAAAAAAAAAAAAAGAGTTAACAAGCACGAAGACAGGTGAACACAAAGTTGGCCACCCTCAAGGAGTAGTCAACATTCTTGGGCTTCAAGGACGCTATCTGAAAATCACCCAGGCCCCATGCTCTCAGCCGACTTACCTGTTGATAGATGAGTTCCACAAGCTCTTGCAAAGCATCATCTGTTGTAACCCAGCCATTTAGGGTCTCTGCAAACTGTTCGATTTCAGTTTCAAAACTGCCAGGCTGCTCTGTAAGATGATTCAAAAAATCCTGAACATATTCTGATAAGGTGGGATAATCTTCACAACCATCCTCATAGGATTCCTAGAGATCAAAAATGTAAAAAGTTGTTTTTAATCCATATGTTTGGCTAAAACATGAGGTAGCCTGAAGCTGGGATATCTCTAATACAAATAATTCTTTTAAAAGATTCTTCATGATAAAATTTATATTCTTTAATAAAATTAAGACCACTGAGTAATTTTTCTTTCTAACAGCTAAAGTGTTTTAACAATAGAAGGGTTTCATTTAGTGGGATAGGGAATTATGTTTTATTCTTAGCATATTTATAAGATGGCTGATAAAATGTAAGCCAATATTTTAGTATAATATCAGTATCAAAAATAAGAATCTAAGGGAGGGAAGGGCAAACCAGGAATACAGAAATGTAGTTTACTGTTGAGGCGACGAGAATTCATTATACCATCCTTTATATTCCTGATGTTTAACAACTTCTAAATTAAAAAGGGAAAAAACCTAGTAACGTTTGTTGTCTGTTAATCCCCAAAGCAGGGAAAGACATGTAACTGATCAAGTAACTACAAAATTTCTTGTTGTAAACAGCGATAGTTCACACCTGAAATACCACCTGAAGCTTTTTTTTTTTTTTAAAGAGAGATTTTTGCTACAGGGCATGTGTGCTCACCAGAGACACAGGGAGGCCACACTGCAATCCCTTCTCTTTCATTCTCCTCTGAGGATCTTGGGCACCATGCACATGTACCTCTTGTGAGTTTTAAGTAACTCGATCTGTGACTTGAACCATGGTTGACTATATGGGGAGTCCAGCAATGTAACTATTATGCCATCTGCTGGTCCCTCACTTGAAGCATTTTAAAGTGTATCTAACAGTTATGATCTAATGACAATATTGTTTGATGAAATTTACTTTTGTCCAAATGAAGTCAAATGAGAAACCAATGAAAAAATTACAACTACAGTACAGAAGCATTTTATGAAGGGTTTAAGTTCTAAAGTCAGTGAGTACATAAAGGGGAAAACCCACACACTCAAAAATACCCTAGAAACTTCTGTACTGGAGATGGACATATAGTCTTAATAGAAAGACTAACACAGGGGCTATACAGTGGCATGTCACTGAAATGCAACACACTGCACCTGACCCATGGAGGAGGATTCTGGATTCACATTCCTGATTACACTGGGCACATGAGCCCATCATCAGGGACTTGCTAGGACTGAGCGTAAACTACAGCATTAAGACCCTATTAAGGGCCTTTTGGCCGGAACCGCCATCTTCCAGTAATTAACCAAAATGACGAACGCAAAGGCAGAGAGGAGAGGCACCTGATGTATGTTCCCTAGGCCTTTTAGAAAAGATGGAGTTGTTCCTTTGGCAACATATATGCGAATCTACAAAAAAGGTGATATTGTAGACATTCAGGGAATGGGAACTGTTCAAATAGGAACGCCCCACAAATATTATCATGGTAAAACTGGAAGAGTCTACAATGTTACCCAGCATGCTGTTGGCATTGTTGTTAACAAACAAGTTAAGGGCAAGATTTTTGTCAAGAGAATCAATGTGTGTATTGAGCATATTAAACATTCTAAGAGCAGAGATAGTTTCCTAAAACGTGTGAAGGAAAATGACCAGAAAAAAAAAAAAGCCAAAGAGAAAGGGACCTGGGTTCAACTAAAGTGCCAGCCTGCTCCACCCAGAGAAGCACTCTTTGTGAGAACCAATGGAAAGGAGCCTGAGCTACTGAAACCTATTACCTATGAATTCATGGCATGATGGGTGTTAAAAATAAACTAATCTGTGGTCTATAAAAAAAAAAAAAAGAAGACCCTATTAAGGGACCAGCAGGTGGCATGGTGGTTAAAGGTGCTGGATTCCCACATGACTGACTGCAGTTTGAGCCCTGGACCTGGCATCTTGCTTTCTCACTTTCTCCTTCTCTCTGTCCAAGTTAAAAAATAGTAACAGCAAGTGGAATTAAATAAATAAATATATGTATTTTAAAAGACCCTATTAAAGGGTCTTTTGAAAAGGAAAAAAAAAACTTATTAACGTTTGTCTATTAAAGAGGTCCTCTCTCTCAAACCTGTCTCTGTCTCTCACCTGATTCTCTCACCTATCCCCATCTCTTTCTCATCTGTGTCCATCTCTATGTCACCTGTCCCCAACTGGTCCCTCTCTCATCTGTCTCCAGCTCCACCTCTATCTCACCTGTCTCTCATTTGTCTCTGTATCTCTCTCTTCCTCTGTCTCTGTCTCTCTCCCGCTTCTGTTCCTTTCTACCTTGCCATTGCTCTCATGGAAGAAAAATTATAAAAGACTAACATAGCTGTCCACCATTGTGAGGTCCTGCTGCGTAACATTTATTTATCTTGGACAATTTCTCTAGCACAGTACTATGGGGGCACTTAAGAAACAAGACCAATTAGCTGCAGGAAAAGCAGATTCATGTGCCCATATCGTGCTCATAAAATGTGGACAAGTGGGTGATACTTAGCACAAGTTACATGCATTATGAGAGGCGCTGAAAAATACAAGACGAGCTAATTGTAAGGAGAGAGATACGTGTGTCCATATCATGCTCACAAAACAATAAATAGAAGACAGATAAAACTTACACATTAAATTTTTGTCTGACCACACAGTTGAATACAAGTTAAATACTCTGCTGTAAACTAATGTTGATGAAATTACTTACCATAAAAATTACAGATGTGACTAAGAATTAAGCGAGTTAATGGTCCACCAGACCAGCAGTGTAATCATTACACCATCTGCTGGTCTCCCACCTGAAGCGTTTTAAAGTGTATCTAACAGTTATGATCTAATGACTATATTGTTTAGAAACTAGAAAGCTAGACTAGAACTCTGAGGTAAGCATTACTTACTATCCCCCCTGAGAAAACAATGATACAGACACAAATCAGTTATTCATTCAATTCCGTGTGACTGCTGAGTATCTACTAAGTGCCAAAGATATATTGTGGGGCTGAGGGTCTGGTCATGGTATGAACTTCTGCCAAGAATAAAGCAGTCCTCTCATGAAGGTTATATTCCACGATGGAAGACACATTCAGATGTTCGAACATACCATTAAAGGAAAAAAACAAAACAATTTCTTTCAGAGAAAGAAAAATTCTAAAAAGTTAATACTTAACTGAGACAGTTGGGGGGAAAAAAACACAAAAAGATGCAGCCCATACAAATACCTGAGGAAAGGCATAGTGGTTAAGGCAGATGGCTCTCACATGGCTGCAGTTTGAGTCCTGTACTGGCTGCTTCAGAAACACTCCATGCATCAGTGGATGTGTGTTCCGAATCCCAACGATATATAGAAATAAAGAACGGATTATGGCTTCCAAGCTGAAGAGTATTTTCAAGCTTTATTTCTTAGAAATAATTTTATGGCAGAGGTTAGGAGGGATACCAATTAAAAAATGTACTTTTCATGGTAGGTAGTTTGTTAACACTGTCAAGAGATGAGACCCTAATCCAAAGCAGTGGAGATAAAAGGACACTGATCATCTAATCTCTATGTCATACTCAAAATATCTGACAAAAGCTTAAAACCTTAGCTGATGGAGTGGTCAAACTGACTTTAGTTACCTGGATTGAAATGGGACAAAGGTGTAAAGGAAAGAGGCAATTTAATATACCACATTCTAGCATTGTAATCAGTAGAGACTGCAAAAGAGCAAACACACCAGAGGATTATTTTGAGAAAGACTTTGAAGGAAGAAAGAAACTGATCTTTGCTAGCAGATGGTAGATCACAGAATACTTGGTAGGCAGGGCTGAATTGAGAAGGTTTATGTGTGACTAGTGTGCTGGGCATTTACTTTTCAACAATTTGAGTAATTGTCATATGAATATTTTCTCCAAGATAGTTAAAATCATACCGTTTCTGTTGTTACAGAGTCACAAACAAAATTATACAAAATTATAAGAAATATTTTGAATGTTATCTTTAAGATTCAGTATTTTGAAAGTTGTTTATTAACTGTCAAGAACTATGGAGTATGAGCAAAAATTTTGTGATATGTAAAGTAAATGTTTATGGAAAAATGTAAAAATAAATGTAAAAACAAATATACCACCAAGTTTTTAACCTAACTAATGAGACAGTAAAGAGATTTGCAGAAGATAAACTGTTTTATACTTGAATTTGAACATGATATCCTCATGAAGAGGTCAAACAAGTAGAAACATTATCCTGCAGTTTAGAGGAAGAATTGGATGTCACTGTTATGAGCACATAGAAAAGTAATGGTCAGAGGGACCAGCAGGTGGTGTGATGGTTAAGGCGTGGACACTCCCACACAGGCAACCATGGTTCAAGTCTCAGACCTGTTGGCTGCTTTTTCACCTTCTCTCTCTCTCTGGTCAAATAAAAATAAATAAATAAATGAATGGGTAAAGTTAAATAATACTTAAAAAAAAAGAAAAGTAATAGTCAGATTCTAGGAGATAAGATCAAGAGAGGTAATAAAATGGACAAAAAGAATTTAAGAGACTGGGATGTGAGGGGGAAAAGGAATGATTTTGAAGTTGGAAGGATGAAGCAAGTACTGCCAATGAAGGCAAAGGAAAAGGTAAATGAGAGAAATGCTAGACTACCAAAATAACTCCTTTTCCTGATATGCCTATGCTTTTCCCTTGTTGATCTCAAAGTTTTTTTATTATTATTATTTATTTATTTAACTCCATTTGTTATTGTTATCTTTTGATCTGACAACCAGAGAGACAGAGAAAGGGAAAGCGAGAAAGCAAGCCACCAGGTCCGGGACTTGAACCATGGTCAGCCAGTGCCCTTATCCACTATATCACCTGTTGACCCCAACAAAGCTTCTTCTACAGTATATGTGGAGTTTCCAAAACACGAAATAGCTTTTGCATATTTTTCCTATCAAATATTTAAAAAAAGAACTAAATAGGGGTAACGAAAACGGTGTCATCATTAGTTATAAGGGAAATACAAACTAAAACCACAGCTATAAGGTCGTCAGGAAAGTCATGACGTATCTTTCTATGCAAAAATGCATCATGACTTTCCTCACAACCCAATAGATAACCACCAGAATGGCTAAAAAGAAAATACTACGTGCTGACCAGAAAGTAGAGCAACTGGAAATCATATGCTACTGGGTAGAGAATGGAACAATCTCTTTAGAAAACTATCTGGCAGTCTCCACTAAAGCCGACTACCCTAAATCCCAGCAATCTTACTCCTCGGTGTATACCGAACAGGAATAAAAGGAGAACTCCACCAACACATGTACAGAAATAGCAGCCCTATCCATAGTAGGTCCAAGCGGAAGCTATCAGTGCTCATCAACAGACAAATAGGACTAATGCATACTTATGCAATGATCTACTCACTCAATGGAGAATAAATCACTTCCAATCAGTCATGTTCCACGCAATGATGTTTCAATCATTAAAAAACAACAAATATAAACAAAGTCATGTAAGATTATAATAGGTTCACCGTAGAGTCTAGGTGTGTGCTAGGCTATTAGCTGGATACCTTCCTCGGAATTTACTGCTGTCATTAAGTGCTGTGTGACCATATACACTAAATCACAGAACAATTTTGATGTTCAGTTAAACTTAAAAAAGGGAAATATATTCTGTATGACTTTATATAAACTTTGAAAACGGAAAACTACTCTGTTATATCAAAAGAATGGTTACCCGAAGAAATTGGTATTATAAGGGGATGCAGGAGGGCCCAGCATGGTAGTACTCCAGAGGGAGGCCACATGAAACATCAGAGCTCAGGTCCCAGGCAGACCTGTACAGGATCCCTGGCAGCTGAACAGCTGGAGTAAGAGAACTGGGGTCCTGTCTTGGCCACGGGACGGCCCAGCCTGTAGCCCGGCTCGGGCGGAGAAGGCTTGGCCGAGTGCAGGGTGCTTCCTCCCCTCATCTATGGTGGCACACGAACGCTTATCATGAATGAATAACAACAAAAATAAATAAATAAATAAATAAATAAAATTAAAGGAAGAAAAAAAACCAGAGAGGGCTTTTGAGATGATGAGGATAATGTTCCATCAGCTGACTGTAATGCCAGTTTCCTGAGTGTTCACTATGTGAAACTTTGAGCTAATCCTTAGGTACACTATTCTATATCATATTTCATTAAAATGATAAGATAGGGAAGTTGAACTTATGCTTAAGTATTTATCAATCATGTCTTCAAACTAGTAGAATGATTCCCTCCCCACTTCTGTACAATTAATCTCCAAGCATTTATTCTCACAACAAAATCCTATATATCTTTACTGTACTTAGTGCTTTCTGCTATTTAAGAAACATGTGGCCAGACTTTGTAATTATTCTGTGAAAGGTGATTCTATAAATTCTTTTTACCTAGGAAAAAAAAATCCCTTTTACATTTTTGCATATTTAATATATACAACAATCCCTAGAAACAACATCCCAGATGCTTACTTCCCAATACTCAAGAAGCTACTTCATAATTAGTTTACAGCAAAACTACTGCTTAATTTAGCTTGAAGCCACAAATGAATATTCCTTTTTTTGGTTTTTTTTTTTGAGAGGTTTTTGCTATAGGGTGCGTGAGTTCCCCAGATAGACAGACAGAAACGAGACAGAAAATGAGAAATCACCTCCCAGGGGGAGGGCTATGCAGCAATCCCATCTCTTCCATTCTCCTCTCTGGATCTTGGGCACGCACACACACGTGTCCAGCGTGAGTTTAAGCCACCAGGTCCAGGACTCGAACTGCGGTCGAATACATGGGAGTCCAGCGACATAGCCATTACGCTAACTGCTGGTCCCTGAATATTCTTATCTTACTAAAACCAAATTAAAAATCAACTTTGTCCATCCACTATTTTATAGGCTGCTTGTAAAGTCTGGAAACAGATTTTAGTTTTATAAAGTGAAGGTATCCTTGATTACATCAGGTTTATTAGTCTATAGATATGTTATAGATGCTGGGAATACAGCAGTCAACAGTACAGGCAAGAATTGCGATCGTCAGGTTTACATTCTGATACTCTGACTAAATACATTCCTGCATCATTTTTCCTTATGAGTTCAATGAATTCAAGATTCAGTGTTTTCAAGTGTAGTAAAATGCACTGGCAGTCTGGTTCAGGAGGTAATAAGCCACACTACTCCAGCAATACTAAGCCAGAGTAGCAGGGACTCTGTGTACTTACTGTATAATTAGAAGAATAACCTGATGGGTAAAATTCGGGGGCGTTCGCGGACAGCTTAGACATTAATACAGGAGCTACAACCACCTGGGGTTTAGCCATTGCAGGCTCAGAGTTCTGTGGGATTTTATCCTGTGAACTAGATGGAGCTCTCAGGGGCCTCGTTTGGTCTGAGAAGGAAAGAAAATAGGTGTTAGATGCATTCATTCCTTTGTACAGTATCTTACTAGATACTGAAAATCCATCATAAAATTTAAGGTTATCGCCCAAGGTATGTAGAGAGAGCCTGCAGAACGAACAATAGCCTTGCTTTCGCTTATTTATGAACATACTCGCCTACCAGACCAACGCGAGAGGGCTTTTTCTCCCTTCCTCTGTTTTGAAGGAGTCGGTTAAAACGAGGTGGTTGCTCGCCACCAGAGCTCGCTTTAGAGGGGGGCGATTTTCACTTCCTCCCGGGACAGCAGAACTCAGCGCCCGCGCACGGCCCCTCCCCCAGCCGGGGCGCACAAAGGATTCCAGCAGCCACCTTCCAAACTCGGATCCGGGCCTGTCCCTACCCGGTAACAGGGGGGCCCTCCGGGAATGCTCTCGCGGAGCGCCCGGCAGCGCGCCGGGCTTCGGAACGCGCAGAGGGCCGTGGGGAAGCACCGGCCCGGGAGGATGGGGTCCCCTAGAGCTGCTCCGTACCTGGGAGCGCCCCGGGCCGCGGAGGCCGCTGGGGGCCGGCGGGGACCTCGCACTGGGCCCCTGGCGGCGGGGCGGTCCTGGGCTG